GGTCACGGTTCGATTCCCGGTCAAGGGCACATGCCTGGGTTGTGGGCTCGATCCCCAGTGGGGGGCGTGCAGGAGGCAGCTGATCCATGATTCTCTCTCCTCACTGATGTTTCCATCTCTCTCCCTCTCCCTTCCCCTCTCTGAAATCAATACAAATGGATTGTAAAAAAAAGTTAACTCTGTTGGGATAACAGTGGTGAGTAGCAGTATGTAGATTTCAGGTGTATAACATTGTATAGAGTGCGACATCTCTGCGCCGCACTGCGCTCAGCACCCAAAGTCAAGTCTCCTTCCATCAGTGTATTTGCCCCCCTTTGCCTTCGTTGCCCCCCCCCACGGCGCCCCCTGGTGGCCACCCTTCTGTTGTCTGCGTCTCTGAGGTTGTTGTTTTCCTTACAGACTCTGCCCACAGCTTGTGAGCAGGAGGCGGGCTGGGCCTTGAGCTTCTTTCTCTGTCCCCCGTGCACCTCTCCCTCCAGCCTGAGCCCTGGTCTCACCTTCTGTTTTGAGGGACTCGTTCCGCGTGTGTCCAGACCCTTTCCCACTTGCCGGCTCCTGCTGGTGGGAGTGAGAACAGCCCACGGCCAGGCCACTCCGCCCCGGTCCCGACAGCGGGGGGGCTCCGGGAGAGTGAGTGAGCACCTTTGGGCCGCGGTTTCTCAGCTGTAAAATGATGTTTTAAAAAGCCCACCTCAGACCGTTGTTAGGACAATTTGACAAGAACAATGCCCGTCATGCTGTTTAAGCTAACACGTAATGCTTTTTAAAAAACATATGTATTTTTATTGATTTCAGAGAGGAAGAGAGAGGGGGAGAGAGAGAGAAACATCAACGATGAGAGAGAAGCATTGATTGGCTGCCTCCTGCACGCAACCGGGGCCTGTGCCCTGACTGGGAATTGACCCGTGACCTCCTGGTTCATGGGCTCAGTCGCTGAGCCGCGCGGGGGCGGGCAGTAGGGCTGCTTGTCATGGGATCTCCTTCCTCTATCAGAGATTCCGGCTGAGGTTCCCTGTACCCCGTTCTCAGGCCTCCCAGTGGGGAGGAGCCTGCCTTGTTTTCCCAGGGAGGCTGGGCCCTGCCGGCTGCAGGGAGGAGCTGGGACCCAGGCCTGGCCCCTCCCAGGGCTCCATCCCCACGGGGCAGGCAGTGGACTCAAAGGGGCCCCTTCCATCCAGGCCTGGGATCCCCAGATGCTGCCAGCGAGAAGGGATACCTCCCTCCGTGGGTGCTGGCCTCCTTGTTCCAGGCCGTCCGGCGGGAGGGAAGGGCCAACAGGCAGATGGACAGAGAGCCTGGGCAGCACCTCGTCTCTGGCTTCTGTCCCTGAGGCCACTGGTGTCAGCTTTTGTCCCCCCCCTCCCCCTGCTGTGGTGCACCACCTCAATAGCCCTCCAGCTTCTCAGATCACTGACTGCCTGCTTTGTCAAGTCGAGAGGAGCTTTGAGGCTTGCAGCCCTCAGGGCTGTGACAAACTGTATGTGTCAGGGTCACACGCAGTTCTGAATCAGCAGCTTCCAGCCCCAAAGTTGAAAGAGGCCCCAAAAGGTCATCCAGGACCGTGGCTTAAACCAAACACAAAAAACAGCCCTGGCTGGTGTTGCTCAGTGGATAGAGCGCCAGCCTGCGGACCCAAGGGTCCCAGGTTCGATTCCAGTCAAGGGCACATGCCCGGGTTGCAGGCTCGATCCCCCGCAGGGGGCGTGCAGGAGGCAGCCGATCAGTGATTCTCTCTCATCATTGATTTTCTATCTCTCTCTTTCCCTCTCCCTTCCTCTCTGAAATCAATTTAAAAAAATATACTGGTATATAACACACACACACACACACACACACACGTCTCCCTTTCTCTCCCTCACATTTTCTACTCCTGTTTCCCAGGCCCCCACCCTCTGAGCGGCCCCTTTCCCACAGAAAAGCCGAAGTCTCACAGCCCTTCCACTGTAGCCCCGCCTCTCCCGCTCAGGTGCGGCCCCTGGGAGCTCAGCCAGGAAGGCCTGTCGCCTGGCTCCCACCTGTTCCTTCGGCTCAGAGCCTGGAGGATGTGCTCTGCTTGGCCCAACACAACACGTTGGCGTGGTTGTGTGTTTAATTTTATTTTCTTCCTGACATTGAAAAGAAAGGGATACATTTCACATAAAACCCTGAACTCAGGCTTCTCTCCAAAAAATTGGGAAGATCGGACACCAGGGTCCTCAATGATGCGTGGTGGCAACACACGGGGGGCCCAGGGCTGCCCGTCAGCCGGGCAAGGCGGCTCCTCTTCCCAGAACCGCCAGGTCCCGCTGCTCTTCCCTGGAACCCACTAGATCCCGGCGTGACTCACCGGCCTCTGGAAGCTTCTGCCGGTGACCCCTGCCCTGGCGGCAGAACCCGCCCGGCCGAGGCTTTGCGTCAGCCTCCTTCCTTCCCTCCGGCGAGTGGAAAGACCCGGCCTGCAGACTCCTTTTTCCACGGATGTCAGTGAGGCTGCCACCTGGACGCAGGCAGTCAGCTTGGTTTTAAGCATTTCTCGCCCCAGTGCACACATGCTCCATGGCCGTATAGAACCCCCCGCCCCCCTCACAGGAACGGGTTTTTTCAGGACGACTCAGCCTTCAGGATTTAACCCTGGACCCTGTGCTTGGAGATTGGAGGCTGGCTCTGACGGCAGGGTCGGAGCAGAAGCCGCACAGTCCCGCCTGGACGCAGCCTCTGCCACGTCCGGTCTGGCTTGGTGCTCACGGGGGCACTCGCTCTTTAGTCTACTGTTCGGGGCGCCGTGCAGATTTTCAGAGGCACCCCCACGTCCTCCTCGGGCCCACGCCTGCTTTTCTGATCTCTCCCGTGTGCAAAGGAGCCTACCCTCCCTCCCTGTCTCCCACGGGGCCTCAGCCCCGGCCAGAGGAGCCGGCCCTGCCTGTGTAAACTCTCTCTCCCTGCTGACACTGACACCCACCCGGTTCTCACCGAGGGGCCGTGGCAAGCCCGCCGGGCAGGCCCGAGCGCGCCGGAGCAGCGGTTCTCCAAGTGCGGCCTCGGGGCCAGCGGAGGCGCCCACCTGGGACTTGTTCAATGCGGCCCTCGGCCCCGCCCACCGAATCCAAACCTGTATCTTTTTTTTTTAATTGACCTTTTATAGAGAGGAAGGGAGAGGAATAGAGAGTTAGAAACATCGATGAGAGAGAAACATCGATCAGCTGCCTACTGCACGCCACCCACTGGGGATGTGCCCGCAACCAAGGCACATGCCCCTGACCGGAATCGAACCCGGGACCCTTCAGTCCGCAGGCCGACTCTCTCAAACCTGTATCTTATCAGGATCCCCGGGTGATTGATGGATTGATAAAACAAGTTAGTTTCTTTAGTGAAAAGGCCTGTGGGGTAAGAAAAAGAAAGGGATATGACAGTGACGAGGAAGAGGGTCTGTCCACAGAGGCCCTGCTCTCAAAGGCTTGGTCTCAGGACCATTGACGCTCTTCAAGATGTTGGGGACCCCAAAGAGCTTGCTTATGTGGGTTACACCTATTAGAATTTGCCAGATTGGAAACTTGAAAAGTATTGGCCCGGCCGGTGTGGCTCAGTGGTTGAGCATCGACCTCTGAACAGCCCACGTGAGCGCGTAATTTATGAAAGTAGCTGTGCTTCCTCCCAGGAAGAACCGCTGGGCAGAGCGCATGGCTTTGCCTTCTTGCTCTCGGGGCCCTGCCTGACCCGGCGGGCGACTCCCCTCTGCTTCTGGGCTCGTCGGCTGCAACACCCCGCTCCGCGCCCTTTGGAAAACTCCACCGCACAGCGGGGAGAGACGCTGCGGGGAAGGCCCGGCTCCCCTGAGGCCGTTGGGAAATGGTTTGGACTGTGCGAGCCCCTGGGAGGGTCAGGGTCGGGGCCACCGTGAGAACCGGGCGATGTGCGAAGAAGCTCGCTTTCAACTGCGCGGAGATCGGGCAACGAGGGTGTCAACGCCACCTCCGCCCGCGGTCCCGGAGCAGCTGCGGGGCCAGGGCAGGTCCCCCGCCTCGGGAGCCGGTCGCCCGGTCGGTTCTATGAAGACAGGCGCACCCCGCGCGCGCGTCCCGCCACACCCCGCAACACCCGGGAGTTTCCCGGCGGGAGCTTCAGAGCAACGCCGCCGTCTGTCCAGCAGAGGGCGACGGAGACCAGCCTGGCTGGGCCCCAGCCACCGAGGCCCTTCGCGCCCCCCTTCCCCCCAGACACCAGGTTTCCTCGTGATCGGGGCGGTGTCTCGGGCGACCTGGGCCAACGGCCCTTCACGATGGCCCAGATGTGGTCGGGGGCTGGGAGAGCAGAGGGAAGTGGTTTGGGCAAAGGCACATTTCCCCCCTCCGGCGGCCTTTCGGGGAGGACCCGCCCCGGAGCTGCGGCTCCTCCCGGGGGCGCCCGCCCTGCCGCCTGGTCGGCCCGGGTGACCTGGGCCCGGCGACGTCACCGTCTTCCCAGAAGAATCCCCCGCGGGGACCGGGCTGCGCGGGGGCGGGGGCTTTTGGTGCCGCAGGGTGACAGCACTCTGGCGGCGCCTCCGGCTTCACCTCTGTTGCCATGGAGACGACAGCATCCCGGCAGCCTTGGGGAGGTCAGCCTGCCCGCGGGAGTGACCCGGTGCTCAGCCCACTCACACTGGCTGTGGTCCAGAGCCTCCCCCGAGGGCGCCCTGCGGGGGCCCTGCCTCGGGGACCTGGGTGCGGGGTCCAGGTCTCAGAGGCCTCGCCGTGCGCTCGGCCGGCCGCCGCTGGAAGGCAGCAGTGCCCGCGGGTGGGTTTAGCCCGGAGGTGTTCTTTCCCTTCTCCTTATCTGTCCCCGGGGCACTTGCTCATGATTCTCTGCAGGAGGCTGGCTGGCTGCACCCCCTTCCAGTGAAGTGACGCTTGTTTTCTTTAAAAATACATATTTTTATTGATTTCAGAGAGGAAGGGAGAGGGGGAGAGAGAGAAACATCTATGATGAGAGAGAATCACAGATCGGCTGCCTCTTGCACGCCCCACACTGGGGATCCAGCCCTCAACCCGGGCATGTGCCCTTGACCGGGAATCGAACCTGGGACCCTTCAGTCCGTAGGCTGACACTCTATCCACTGAGCCAGCTGGCCAGGACAGAACATGTTTTTTTACAGGACATTTCAACGTTAAAAAGCACTTCCCTCCCCAGGCTCTAATGCCATCTTCTCTACACTCCGGAGAAGTAAGTAGTAGGAACTGGCCACCTCGGTCCCAACGCATAGGCGAACTCCGAGAAACTGCAGGGAAGACAACGGCCAAAGAAAATGAAAGGTCTGTAAGGACAAAAGCCCACCGCCCACTGCAGCCCAAGGGGGCACTGAGCCAAACGCCCGTCAGCCGGAGAATGGACAGATGAATGATCAGCCTCAGAAAGGTAGGGCACCCTGACACCTGCCACCACATGGCCGGGACTTGAAGACCTGCTAGGTGAGGTCAGCCAAGTCACAAAAGGATGCGTTTTGTCTGAGTCCGCGTATATGAGGGACCTCGGAGAGACAACTCTGTAGAGACAGGAAGTAGCACAGAGGTCCCAGGGGTGGGGCAGGGGAGGAAGTGGGGAGCCGTGTTTAATGGGGAGTTTCTGCTCGGGGTGGTGAACAAGGCCTGGAGGTGGTGGTGGTGGTGGTGGTTGTGCATCGCTGTGACTGTCCTCGAGCCACTGCATGGTACACTCAGTGATGGTAGACATGACACATTTAATTGCTTGTATATTTCACCAAAATGAGAAAAGTTTAAAAAATAAACAGAGCCCGGCCGGCGTGGCTCCGTGGCTGAGCGTCGACCTATGAACCAGGAGGTCATGGTTCCATTCCCGGTCAGGGCACAGGCCCGGGTTGCAGGGTCCATCCCCAGTGGGGGGCGTGCAGGAGGCAGCCGACCCATGATTCTCTGTCATCACGGATGTTTCTCTCTCTCTCTCCCTTTCCCTTTCTCTCTGAAATCAATAAGAATATACTTAAAAATATATTAAAAAGTAAATAAAGAGAACACGGCCTTAGCTCGCTCCCTCCTCATTCAGCGTTTCCTGCTCCTGGGGGATTTTCCCGGGTTGATTGGCGGGAGCAGCTTTACCATAGCCCCACATCAGGGGTGCTGCCTCCCACCGAAAGCAAGAAAGCGTCAGGCTTTAAAAATAGCTCATCGCCAGCTTTCCTTCACTAAGGGCTCGGGCTGGCATTCCCCTCAGGTATTCCACATGAGCAAGATCTGGCGGGAGGGAAAGAGGGAGTGAGTCACCGACTTGGCAGGTGAGGTCATGGTGGGGTGACCGTCTGCACAGAGCAGCTCCCGCCTCCCGCACCTCCCCCTCCCGGGGCAGCCGGGTCACCCGCCGCCGGCTGAGCTGCAAGTCTAGCAGCTTTGGTGCGATGTTCAGTGGGAGACATTCCTCTTCATGACTCAGTGACTCGACATCCCAGCAGATGGGCTCCTGAGGCCTCAGGGGACCGAAGCCGGCGCTGGGGTCGGGACCCCGGGCTGCCAGGGTAGGGTCCGCAGCCCTGGGAAGGGCGGGGGGGGGGGCGGGGGGGCTCGCCTCCCGTCCGCTGGAATGCTAGCTATCTGGGACATGGTGGGACAGACCTGCGGGTCTTGCCGGTCCTGGTTCAGACACCCCAAGAGAGTGGCACCCGGAAGCCGGCGGTAAATATTTGCTGAATGGCTCCTGCTCTGCAGGAGGCAACGGCCAGCACACGTCCCCAGCGCCGAGACAGACATGCAGCCTTGCTGGGCGTTCACAGCTCTGGCAAGTTCTCGCGGGGCCGCCGGAAACGGCGTGGGGCGTATTTTCGTGGCACTGACACAGGTTTCACGTGGACAGCTCTGGTTGGCACCAAGCGCCCTAATGTTTACCCAGGTAACCTGGTGATTAGTAAGTGGCCATGGGCAGGGCTCCCCTGAACGTGTTTGCACACTCATTCAGCAACCATTAACCGAGGCACCGTCTCCAGAAGATGAAAGCGCAAGAAAGAGAAAGTTTTTTATTTGTTTGTTTTGCCTTTTTCCTCTTCCGTCTCTATACTGTTGAGTCAGTCTGGTCTGGTCTAAGGTACACGAGCCTTGCATTAGTCAACCAGGTACTCTTGGTTGCAAGGGACAGAAATGGGATTTAAATCAGCGAGAGGGGGAAAGACAGGCAGGGGCCTGCTTCAGGCATGGCTGTATCCAGGTGCCCAAGCAATAGTGTTAGGGATCTGCTGTTCTCTGGTTCTCAGCTCTGCCTTCGTAGGCGCACGATGGGGGTGTGGTAGGGGTGGCGAGAATCTTCCCAGTAGCTCTGGGCCCACATTCTAGCAGCATAAGCACCTCACCTGAGAGAAATCTTCTTTCTAACAGAAATACCGCACGGGCTGGGAAAGAAATGCTGTTTCCAAGGATGAAAGGGGAGGGTTGCTGGGAGGCAAAAAGCAATAGGTGTCCACTCCCTGCGCAGAAATGCGAGCCTGTGGGAGGGAGGGCTGCGGGTCAGGAGGCGGGAGCTGGTTTGTCTGTGAGTCAGCCTGGGGGGAAGGTGGGGAGGGTGGGCGCTGGGCCTCAGCCGGTCCGAGTGGACCCGGCTCTGCTCGCGCTGCGTGCGAACAGGGCCAGGTGCTGGGTGTGAGCGACGCGGCACTGCGGTCACCGTGCTGACTGGACAGCTCTGCGAGGGCTTTTAGCTGCAGTGACCGGCTTAGGGGAGGCCGCTGAGGGCGGAGGGACTCAGTGACCTACCCAGGGTCACTGCACAGGAAGCAGTCCTCAGCCCACGGCCTCTGACCTCCCCAGGGCTGTGTTCACCCTCATAAATACCGGTGTCTCCCCCACTCTGGCTGTTCCCCAGGAAGGGGCTGCAGGAGAACGGGATTCACCCTCCCTGAGGCTTCTGGGCCAGGCACCCATCCCTGCCTGACCCATCCCCCCTGCCTCCATCCCCCCTTCCCCCATGCCTGCCTGCACGGAGCACCGTTGGTTTCACCTGAACCCCACTGTGGCTGGGGGGCTGCTCACCCCCTCTCAGCAGGTTCAGGCTCGGCCCCCTCCTGACCTCTCCGTCACCCCTCCCTCCGGCCGCCTGGGGAGCCGTGAGGCAGCTGAAAGGGAAAGGAAGTGAGGCCTCCTGGGGGCGGGGGTGAGATCAGCACCTTGACTTTGGAGGAGCTGTAACTGGAAATGCCTGAGGTTCCCCCCGATTGATCGATTGATCGATCAGGGCTGGGCTGGGGCTGGGGGTGGGGGTGGGGCTGGCCCGCAGCCGCAGGGGGAGACCGAGGAGGGGCTTCCTGAGGAAGGACGGGGGAGGGGGGCTGGAAGCGCTCCTTGATGCCCATGTCATGGTGCTCTGGCCTGGGGGACAGACACTCAGGTGGCCGCGCCTTGCCGCCCTCCGCACACACGCCCTGTGCCAGCTCCTGGGCATGTGTGAGCGCCGTGCCCGCACCCACCTGCCTGCAGTGAGGGCCCCACCCAGGCTGCTCCACGGGTCCCACCTCCGGGCCTGCCGTGGGGTTGGGGTCTCCCCTCCCGGGCGGCTTCCCTGGAAGCAGAAGCTGCCTCCCATTCACCCGTCCTCAGGAGGCTGGGCAGAGGGGACGGTGCACCCGGAGCTTGCACTGAGTTCCACCCAACCCGGAGAAGGAGCCTTCATCACCCCATCCTGCGGATGGGCAAACTGAGGGCCAGGCTCGCTGATGGAAAGACGCAGCGTCTGCGAACTGAGCCAGCATCTCATCGTACCGACTGCAGTCACCCCTGAAGGGCCTGGCACCTGGGCCGGGACCCCCTTGCCCTGCCCAGGCCTTCTCGCGCCCCCGGTTACCTGGGAGGCCGTTAAAGCGCAGATTCCGAACCAGCAGGGCTGGGAGGCGCCTGAGCCCACATTTCTGACGGTCCCCGGGCGATGCGGTGCTGCCCGCGGGGACCCACTGGCCGGCCAGGCTCCCGCTTCTGCTGTCCCGAGGAGCTGGGTCCTCCGCGGTGGCCGCCCCACGGCTGTGCCGAGTCTGAGAGGCCACGGGTTCCGAACACGTAGCGGGAGGAGACGATGTACAATCTCTGTGACAACCTTCTGTGTGCATCACATGTGGATGTGACCGTGCTGTGGCTGTCCTGGGTGAAATAAACTGCGTTTGAGAGTGAATGTCTCTCCCCTGCATCTTTTTACTGCTGAGTCCCAGGGCCGGACAGCTGAGCGGGAGGCCGGCAGGGCGTGTCCCTCGCAGAGCTCTGGCCCACGGGGGCCGGGGGCACGAGGTGAGGTCTGGAGGCATCGCGGGAGGTCATGTCCAGGGCGCTGCTGCCCGAGGTGCCGCTAAGCATTCAAGACGCAGAAGACAGCCCCTCGCAGCCGAGAGGGACCCAGCCCCAGGGTCGTGCCCAGGTGGCAGAATGCTGGTCTGGGACCATCCCCGCTGGCACCTGAGCCCCAGGAGACCAGGGGTCGCCTGCCCGTGGCTCCCAGCCCAGGGCCCGGGATGGGGTGGGCACAGCGAGTGTCTCTCCACCGAGCCAGCCGGGCGGCGTGGGTCCTCCGTGCAGATCCGAACAGGCCCCAGCGGGGGCCGCGGAGCCAGGCGAGAGGCAGCTCCGCCCGGGACAGGCCGGGGCAAGGCAGCCTCGTGTCTTGGCTGCAGCCCGGGCCGCGGCCCAGAACCCGGCCCAGCCGCTCGGGCACTGCCGGGCGCAGGGCTGGGAACCGGCCCACCGAGGGTCTGGCCTCCGCCCCGCCCAGCGGCCGCCTTGCTGGCCAGTGACTTTATTTACCTCCCGTGGCTCCGGCCCACCCGCTGCCTCCCCTCACGGCCCGGCCCTGCGGAAGCCCAGGTTCGGGAGCCCGGCCGGGTTTCTAAGGAACAGCCTTCTGGTGGGTGGGGAGGGGGAGGCCGGAACCAGGTGGGTCCCCCAGGGTGTGCGAGGGAAGGAGGCGGCGGACTCACGGCTCTGGTGTAGAAAACCCTTGCACCTTCCGAGGAGCCTGGACCTGGGCCTGCTCCCTGCGCCCGGCACTCCCTGGGGTGGCTTCCTCCCCGAGTCTGGGTTTGGCAGCCCTGCCCCCTGCCCCCCCGCTGTGTGACCTGGGGAAGTGAGGGACGTCTGGGCCTCCATGTCCTCCGTGTCCTCTCCTATAGAGTGGGGCGAGGAGAGGAGCAGGGGTTGCATGACCTCTGAGCCTCAGGGCCTCTCTCTCTCTCTCTCTCTCTCTCTCTTTCCTGCAGGAAAAGACTGGCTCCCAGCAGGGCCTAGTTTTTCTCCTGCCACCCTCTTGCCTCTTGACCCCCAACCTCACTCCTTGTCACGAGGGTCAGCTGCACCGCGCCGCCTGCAGTCCTGCCAGTGTGCCCGCGGCCTCCGGACACGGCCTGCGGCTCTTCCATGGAGCTTTCTACAGCGGAGCTGCGTGTGGGCTGTGTGTCCTCGGACAAGCCCCTCACCCTCTCTGTGTCTGTTTCCTCCTCTTCTTCTTGTTTTAAAGATACAGCTTAAAAAAAAATGTTCTTATTGATTTTGGAGAGGAAGGGAGAGGTAGAAACACCAATGATGAGAGAGAATCATGGATCGGCTGCCTCCTGCACACCCCACACTGGGGACCAAGCCCGCAATCCGGGCCTGTGCCCTGACCAGGAGTCGAACGGAGACCTCCTGGTTCATAGGTCCATGCTCAACCCCTGAGCCACGCCGGCCGGGTTCAGTCTCCTCTGCTTAGAAACCAGAATAATAATGCTGGCTCAACAAGATGGGTGTAGGGCTGTTATCAGCCTGTCCAACACCTGGAAGGCAACAAGAGAAGTCCCCGCCCTCATTAGGGTCTTTCTGGAACCTGTTCCCACTCACCTCCCAGGAATCGGCTCCGTGGTCACCCTCCTCCAAGAAGCCTTCCCTGATTCGCACCTGCCAGCTGCGGGAGCCGCCCCTCCTCTGGTGCTGACTCACCGGAGACTCACGTCTGGCATCACCCTTATCACAGGTGTGGTAACTATCTATTTATTTGTCTTGCACCCTCAACAGCCTGTCACTTCCTCTGGGCAGGAGGTTGGACATGGACCGGGGACCGCCGGCCGGCCCAAACCGCAGGCTGCTGTGCGGCTACAGGGCGCCTGGGAGGCATTTGAATAGGATGTGGAACTTGTGGAAATAGAATGATACCCTAAGAAATCAAGTCTATGAAAAACACCTACAAAATAAAGGCCGTTGACACAATAGGATGACTTCACATACAAACCTGGCTTTCCAGGTGTTCCTGGAAAATCAGGAGCTGCGGCACCAGCCACCACTCCCACCCGCACCTGCCGGAGCACCACCTCCAGGCAGGCAGGCAGGCACCTGACTGCAGGCCCCGCCCAGCGTGGCAGCTCACACCCTCCGTCCCTCGAATAGGCTGACCTCCAAGCCTATCTGCTCCGTTGGGGTCATCACAGCCCCCAGCTGCAGCGCACACACCCCTGAGGAGAGGGCGGGTCTTGGGCATCCCCCCTTCCTGACAATAAATGCTCAATAAATATTAACCGTCCTGGCACGCTCTCTCTTTCTTTCTCTGTTTTTTTAAAAATTATTTTTTAAAAATTTTTATTGCTTTCAGAGAGGAAGGGAGAGGGAGAGAGAGAGAAACATCAATGATGAGAGAGAATCATTGATCGGCTGCCTCCTGCACGCCCCCCCCCCCCCCACCCACTGGGGATGGAGCCCTGACTGGGGATCGAACCGTGACCTCCTGGTTCATAGGTCGACACTCAACCACTGAGCAGCACTGGCCGGGCTTCCTGTCCCTCCTCCGAGTCTTCTTCTCCTTCTCGCGTGTCTGTCTCTGCATTTCTCGTGCCCTGTCTTGTTGGACTCTCTCTTCTCTCCTTTTTCTTCTCTTCCTCTCCCTCCTCCTCTCTCCCTCCTGCCTCGTGCCTTCTTACCAACCACGACTAAACAAACACCTGTGTGGGGAAGAGAGCTTTCATAACTCAGTGGTGGGGCGTGCAGAGACCCCACCAGCCAGGCACCCCCCTCCACACGTGGGGAGCACTCCCCCCCACAGAGCCCGGGCGGTGGGTGCCTTTCAGCAGACAGGCCTGCGGAGAGGAGACTGGATGGGGGAGCGGGGGGAGCTGTGTGTCCGTCTGTTTGGCGAGAGAAGGACATGAGTACACCTTCCGCCAAACAGTCCCTCTCCTGTGTGTGCTCAAAGCCCACGAAACCCACGTGTTCTGCAGGGAGGGGAGCATTTTGAATGAAGGGAAATTACCAGGAGTCACTGGGACTCACGGAGTTGTTGAAAGAGGGGGAGAGGGGGAGAGAGGTGGGAGAGGGAGAAAGGGGTGGCCGGCTTTTCAACACCTGAAGTGAGCCCTCAGCAGCTCAGGCTCAGGCACTGCCTGCAGGGTTGATGGAATGAGGAAGCCCCGCTGAGGAAGGAGGAGGAGGAGGAGGAGGGGGAGGGAGGAGGAGGAGGAGGAGGGGGAGGGAGGAGGAGGAGGAGGAGGAGGGGGAGGGAGGAGGAGGAGGAGGAGGAGGAGGAGGAGGGGGGAGGGGAGGAGGAGGAAAAAAGGAGGAGGAGGAGGAGGGGAGGAGGAGGAGTGGGAGGGAGGGAGGAGGAGAAGGAGGGGGAGGGAGAGGGGTAGGAGGGGAGGGAGGGGAGGGGGAGGGGAGGAGGAGGAGGAGGGGGAGGGAGGAGAGGAGGAGGAGGAGGGAAGGAAGGAGGAGGAGGGGGAGGGAGGAGGGGAGGAGGAGGAGGGGGAGGGGGGAGGAGGAGAGGGGGGAGGGGGAGGGGTGAGGAGGGAGGAGGAGGAGGGGGAGGGGGAGGAGGGGGAGCCCACGCAGAGGCGGCTGCCCAGGTGCAAACCCCAGGCTGGGCTCCGCCCTCTTTTCACCTGGTTTCCAGAGGCGTGTTCCCACGTGCGGAGGGGAAGCGTTCAGACAGAGCTGTCGGTGGCGGTGAGCCGGGGCCCCACCCAGCCCCCCACCCAGCCCCCCAGACCCACAGGGCCTCTCCCTGTGCCCAGGGCGTGGCGGCTGCCGGCGGCTTCAGGAGAGCCAGGCGGCCGGGGCCTGGGAGGCGCCGCCACAGCCTGTGGCCACAGGTGGAGCTCCGGGGCCTGCTCCCGTCCGCCTGGCAGTCGGGGGGCCTGGCTGCCGCGCGCCGTTTCAGTGTCCACCTCGCAGAGGAACCGCCGGCCCGGGAGTGGGCGGCCCGGCTGGAAGACGCGCCAGCTTCCCGCCCACCCCCTGCGCCCGGGAGCCTGGAGGGTGGCCGCCCTGTGGCCCGCGGCACCCCCAGCGCCGGGCGAGCGGGCTGCTGGACTCGGCGCAGTAACCAGTCACGGGGAGCGGGCTAGCTGCTCGCAGGCGCTCACGCCCTCTCTGCCCCGCCCGCTGTGACCCTGCCCCTCATCAGCACAGTGGGATCCCGCCAGCAAAATACAGACTGAGGCCCCCCCTCGGAGAAGCAAGATATCGGGCCTCCAGCCTGCAGCTGTCACTCACACACGGCAGAGGTGCGAATGGGGGGACATGGTCCGATTCGATGAGTCCGCAGCTTCTGTTCCTGGCAGTTCCAGGGGTGTCATACGGGTGTTACTATTCTTTTTTTAATTAACATTTTTAATTTTTAAAATTTACTTTTCTTTTATATATACATTTTTTAATTTTTTAAAAATATATTTTATTGATTTTTTACAGAGAGGAAGGGAGAGGGATAGAGAGTCAGAAACATCGATGAGAGAGAAACATCGATCAGCCGCCTCCTGCACACCCCCTACTGAGTATGTGCCCGCAACCAAGGTACATGCCCTTGACCGGAACCGAACCTGGGACCCTTGAGTCCGCAGGCCGACGCTCTATCCACTGAGCCAAACCGGCCAGGGCTCTTTTTTATATTTTTATTGATTTCAGAGAGAAAGGGAGAGGGAGAGAGAGATAGGAACATCAAAGGTGAGAGAGCATCATGGATCGGCTGCCTCCTGCATGCCCCACACTGGGGATCAAGCCCGCAACCCAGGCATGTGCCCCGACTGGGAATGGAACCGTGACCTCCTGGTTCATAGGTCGATGTTCAACCACTGAGCCACGCCGGCCGGGCTAGATTTTTTATTGATTTTTAGAGAGAGAGCAAGGGAGGGGGAGAAAGAGAAACATCAATGTGAGAGCAAGTCAATCGGCTGCCTCCTGCACGCCCCGCACTGGGGACGCAGCCCGGAAGCCGGGCCTGTGCCCTGACCGGTATCGAACCAGCAGGCTTTGGTTGCACGGGCACACCCAACTTGCTGAGCCCCACCCGCCAGCCCAGGCGCCACTTTAGGAAGTCGGTGAGGTGACCTGGTGGAGAGCTCCATGCTCCCACCTGCCCGCCCGCCGCTCTGGGGCGATCCTGGGCCAGCACCTCCTCTCCCTGAGCTCGTTTTCCTACGTGAGGTTTCCATGAGACCCAGCCTGCGCTGGCCCAGCACACAGTAGGTGCTCAGTTCCCATGAGCCAGGATCACGGTTCCCTCCGCCCCACCCTGAGCGGCAGACGCCTCTCCCCGGGCGGGCGTGAAAGGAAACCGGAGTGGCCAGCTGGAGGGGCGGGTCTGGTGGCAGAACCAGAACGAGACACCTCGGCCCCAGGGCCCCCGCAGCTGCCAGAAATACGGTGACGGTGGCTACCCCCCCCCCCCCCCCCCCCCCCGCCAGGAGAAGTGAAACACGACCCCATCCGCGTCAGAAAGACGAGAAGGAACCCGCCCACCAAGCACCAACCTGAGCAGAGTCCAGTGGCCCCCGACTCCCGGGCAAGGTCAGGTCCGGCGGCCAGAGGGTGGAGGGGCGGAGGATAGTGTGACAGGAGGGGCTGGTGGCGGGGCACAGGGGTGAAAGCCGGCGAGAAAGAGGAAGGAAGCCCTTTATCGGATTCAGTTCGTGAGAACAGGGAGGGAAGTCGTTTGCATTTGGCCAGACACCTCGGCCATGACCTCCCTCTCTCTCTGGACAGGGGTCCCTGCGAGCTTGACGTCCACAAGTCTCTGGGGAGAAACCTTAAGGCCCCGACCCTTCGAAGCGGTGCTCGCCCCACCCATGGCCCTCTTCGAGGCTTTCGGACCAGCACCGGCGGCGAGGGGTCGGGGGTGGGAAGTGTTTGAGCTGGTGTTTCCCACGCTGTCAGCCTGTCCAGTTCACAGGGCTGGCCCCTGGCCCCTGGCCCCAGCCCTGCCATTGGCCAGCTCTGCGTCCCAGTGGCTCCCCTCGCTGGCCTCAGTTTTCCCATCTGTAAAGTGGACATGCCCAGGCCGCATCTGCCTTTCAGTCCTTGCTCTTCCTTTCCCGCCAGAGCAAAGGGCGTGTGTGGAATTCGAAGGCAAAAGTCACTCCGATCAAATGTGAACGTTAGTCAACAGCCCGGCCCTGAGCTCAGCTTCCGGAGGCAGCGCAGGCGGCCGGGGAGCTGAGGTCCCAAACCCCACAGCAAACAAGTGTCCGTCCCTCCCACGCGGCCGCTCCCTTCCGGAGCCTTCTGCGCTCCGGCTCAGCTCCGAGGCCGAGCGCGTCCTAGGCCTCAGGACCGGCCGGGTGCTCCGTGGAGCCAACGGCGACCCTCTCC